CCTTCCAGCCAATGCTACAATAAATGTTATAGCCTAAAATTGACTCCATAAAGGAGACCACAGCCTTGTGTTTGCAAGAGCTGAGCAGGGCTGTTGGAGGCATTATGGGGTTGCCATAAGGTGGAGGCAACTTGATGACACATAGTAACAACAAAACTGAAGCCTACAATGTAGGCATGATAAAATTGTGATGTTATGTTCTGCCTTAGTATCAGTCAGCTTCCTAGGTTTCCAGAGAGGAAGTGGCTAGGTTTATGGACAGTTCAGCAGCAGCTGGAGAGGCGCAGTGGAAATCCTCCCAATTGACTGCCTGATGATGGTGGGTTCGTTTAAGGCTCCAGCTGACCAAGGGTCACGGTGACCTTGTGAAAGAGAGACATGATTTACAGCAGGGGTCTCAAACTCAATTTACCTGGGGGCCGCTGGAGGCAGAGTCTGAGTGAGGCTGGGCCACATCAGATTTTCCGCCAAGTGGAGCAAGAGCCCGAGGAAACTGCCCACGAGTTTCCTGAGCCAGGCGGGCTGGCTGGCAGGCTGCAGTTCCAGTTGAAGAGTGCAAGAGGCGCTGTCTTGGGAGAGAGCCGTCGAGGGAGGTGAGGCTTCTTTTGACTCTTGACAGCAGAGGATGCGTGGGTGCCTCAGGGGGGCAGACAAGGCGGGGACTACAAACTATAATCCGACGGGCTGCAGATGGCCCCCGGGCCGCAAGTTTGAGACTCCTGATTTACAGTGTACAGGTTTTCATCTTTATATGCTTTCAATTAGTAGGGCCCTGTTATATATGACATCTGTAGATCAAGCTCTAGTACTCATATTACTATTTCCATTGCTTTTTATATTTGTTTTCATTCACCACTATTTAAAAAATTGTTTATACATCTAATTCTGTTTTCAGTATGGTAAAACTGCGATAAATATGCACTATACAATTGCATATATCAACAGCCTATCAAAGCAGTTTTATTTTCATTTGTCTAATGCTAAATTAATTTCTAAATCCATTACTGTGTGGGGCTCTGGCTCTAACATGTAATTAAAATGAATAGCGATATGGTGTGGGTTAATTAAGCATTTTCAAAAATGGCTTCAAGTAGAAAAACAGTTATTCTGTGGGATAATAAAACCATGATTTTAATTGTAAGAGCCATTCCTGGATACATTTCATACTGTAAATATATAACTCTGAAAAGCTTTATGGAATCTAATCTTGTTAGAATAATGAAACTTTGTAAACCCAGATAATTTAGTATTTCCATGAATCCTTGTTTGTATAAAACTAGTGCCACATTTCAGTGTGGGATGGAACTAGATATGAGCTCCGTGACACTCTGTGGTGGAGAAGGATCAGAAGAATCACATGTCCCTCTTACAAAAATAATCTTAACTAGGAAATGTATAGTTTCTGGTAATTGAAGTTTTGGTTGCAGTCAGCCATAACAATAAATTAGGGATCTTCCTAGGTCTGGTCTTATGGTCCTCTCAGGGCTGGAAAACCTTGATTGAGCTACAACCACTGGCCATATTGGTTGGGAGATTGTGGGAATCTGTAGTCCAAAAACAATGTAGTTCTAGGCCTTGGTCATGAATATATTTCTGAGCACCCTGAATATCAGCTCACCATGACCCCTTGGTTAGATGGAGCCTTAAATTACCTCACCACCACCAGGCAGTGAATTGAGACAACTTGCACTGTGCCTCTTCAGTTGCTACTGCACTGTCCCCAAACCTGGCCGCTTCTTCTTTGGAAACAGGAAGATGACTGATACCAAGGCAGAGCATTGATTCCTCTAGCCCAGTATTGTCAACTCTGACTAACAGGACCTTGCCAGGTTTTCAGGAAAGATTCTTTCTGAGGCCTACTTGGACACCTCAAGTATTTCCAAAAGCCACCCAACCAAGTGGTATCCAGGCCCAAACTTGCTTTTGGAGAGAGGAGATTGAAGTGCAGTGACTTCCATGCATCAGTGAAAAGAGGACAAAGTGATCAGTGGCCGGCCAGGTATTGCACAGCCAACCCCTGACTGGGGAGGGACTGGTGGAGGACTCAGGCTATGCCACTTGGGACAGGGGTCATAGCTAGGTCTTCCCAGGTTTTACCTAAAGCAATTCAAAGCTTTGAAGAAATCTCACAAGACTCTTGACAAAATCTTGTGAGCCTCCAGAGACAAGTTGGAAGGCCTATATAAGCCTGCCTTAAATCTTTCGGTGACCACTACCAGCTCTGGTGCTCCATGATCTTGTAACAAATTGTGGTTTGCTATTAAGAATGTTCTCTAGCGACCTTTGGCTTGGTGCACTCTTCCCACTTCCCCCATCTCCAGGAATTACAGTTTAGCCCAAACCACCATTTTCTGTTTTGTTTGAAATGAAATATAAGTATCTAAATATAAATAGTGGTTCAACTAGCAACACGGCAGGTTAAAAACCTGTTAAGTGACTGTGTGCATTTGGAGGGTGTGAGCAATCATGAACAAGTAGCAATATATGGCCTTGAACAAGGCTGCAGCTTAACAGTTTGTAGTTGGGGAGGGATTGTTTTGAAGTTTTGTTTGAGAGTTGTATCTTACAGGAACTGCCCAGTCTTAGTCTTCTGTGGATTAAATGACGCATTTGTGTTAATGACTGTGGCCTTTCTCAGCTGGTTATGGCTCCCTAGGCAATATCTCTTAGTAGCTTAATTTGATAGCAGTACATTGCCAGCCTGGGGAGGGTGAGGAAGCATAGTCTGCTTCAATGTAATGGAAAGGCTGGGCCAGAAATCAAATCAAAGCTTGCTCTTATGAATGCTCCCCTGCGGTTCTACCAGTGGTGGATGTGGCTGCATTAGTGACAAAGAAACTCTTCTATCATTGCTCTGCCATCCCCTGACTACACTTTGGCCTTTGCAGCAACCTACTGGACCAATCCTCAGTTCAAAATTAGGCTGGATGAGCCGGATGATAGCCATGAAGGAAGTGTGAGCGAACCATGTTGCACTGTGCTGGTGGGCTTGATGCAGAAGAATCGCCGGAGGGAGAAGAGGATGGGGGAAGGGCTGCTGAGTATCGGCTACTCCATGTATCAGGTATGCGATTTACTCCTCCCTGTTCTTTCCATTAGTGTGAAGATGGATGGGCCATCTCTTTACTCTGAAGACCACATCTGGCAGTTGAAGACCACCAGTTGGCATGGTTGGAGCTAGTGATGAGTGTGAGCTGGACTGCCTGTGGGTGAGACCAGGGAGAGTGTATGCAATCAAATGCACACAAAGCTACCACTTTTCCTTCCCTCTCTTCCATAAGCAATCTCATTCACACCCACCCATACCAACACTCTCATATATAAGCCCTATGAGGAAAGACTGAAATAACTGGACATGTTTAACCTTGAAAAAATAAGACTGAGGGGAGATATAGTAGCACTTTTCAAATTATTTATTTTATTTATTTAAAACATTTTATCATGCCTTTTCCCTTAAAAAGGACCCTGCAGGAAAGGTAGTCATACAGAGGAAGGGCAGGATCTATTCTTAGTTTTCCCAGAGTGCAGGACACATAACAATGGGCTCAAGCTGCAGAAGCCAGATATATAGGCTGAATATCAGGAGGAATTTCTTAACTGTTAGAACAGTATGACAGTGAAACCAATTACCTCATGAGATGGTGGAGAAAATTGAACAACCATCTCTCAGATCTGCTTTGACTTGGATTCCTGCATTGAGGAGGGGATTGGACTCAATGGCCCTTCCAACTCCTTTATTCTATGAATCTGGTAGTCGCTCTCTCACACATCACACACTTTGCACTTGCACTCTCTCTCTCTCTCTCTCAATCTCTCTCTCTTTCTCTCTCTCTCTCTTTCTCTCTCTCTCTCTTTCTCTCTCACACACACATACATACACAGTTCTCTCCCAGTCACCCAAGCACTCATGCGTATCCATACGGCGGATTGGTACATGGGGACAAAGGATTTATATCTCCCATTAAACAATCTCTTATGCCAGCTGCACTTTTTGCAGCCTAACAGTCACAGGGAAAGGAGACTTACTATAAAGGGAGGTCAGTCTCACCTATATGCCTCTGTACGTTGGCCTCGAGTTTGGTGCTGAGCTGTTTGACTGACTGTGAGGAATGCAGAAGATGGCGTTCATTGAGGATCATTCCTGTGTAATGTCCTGTCCAAGAAAATAGTGCTTTCCTTAATTCACTAGCCAGCCAATCAGTAGGCTTCTGGGATTCACATAGAATTTGATGGAAGCAATGCCAGCATTTAGTGGTGGCAGGGGGTTTATTTGGTAGCAATGGATTGGAAACCCGTGTGACCACACTGAGTGCCTCTGTGACCTGTATGTGACCAAAAGGCCACCATTGCCCCTGTGTACCCTAGACCTTTACTATCCATTGTGACATTTCTCCTCTTTCTCTAGATCTTTACTGGGATCTTATCTTAATGGTAGACTTTGAAAATATAAGTTTTTTTTTTTTTTACCATGGGTCCTATCCCACTGCCTTATCTTAGTGGCAGACTTTGAAAATATAAGTTTTTTTTTACCATGGGTCCTATCCCACTGACAATAAAATCTGTGCAAGGCATGTGCACAAGCCAACTCCAGGGAAGCAGGTTTTTCATCTTCCTGCCAGAGGTCGGTTTATTCTGAGGCAGATTCCAGTGAATCACTTCCACATACGTGAACGCCCCTGCTCCGTGTTTCTTTGGGTTTTTTGGACAGCTGCCAGTCAGCCAAATCAAGTCTTTCTCCCCTTCCCTTTCAACCCCCACCACTTTCCTCCCCTTCTGTACCATCCCTCAACCAACCTCTTCTCTTCACCCCCCCAAATCCTTCCTGTTTTCTGTTCCTCTCAGTCACCTGCCACCACCCTCATCCTTTGCACCTCTTCCCATTTCCATCCCTTTCATGGTTTCATATTTTTATGTGGAATCCTCACCAAACCACCATCAAATTATAGATCCCATCTCTGCCCACAGACTACAAATCCAAGGCATGCCTGACACCCATGTTTTTGTGCTTTGGGGGGTAATGCTATATATATAATGTGCAGGGATCAAAGGAGACGCATGCCTGGGATCCATGTTTCTCTGGTTTGGAGTGATCCTATACATAAAACTGTGGGGGACCATGGGGAGAGTTTCTTCAGGAATTGGAGCCCAAAGGGAGGGGTGGTTCCTCCCCCTCCCCCTTCTCCATTGGCTTGCTTTCTGGGTGGAATTTTGGGTTTGTTGCATTTAGGGGGGAGATGTCACCTTTACACCTCCCTCACTATAACTCTCTCTTCTTTGTGTGTGCATGTGCGTATGTGCATTTGTGTCTGTAGTGGTTTTGTCGGGGGGAATCCTTGCCCCTTTTACATTAATCCTCTTCCCCTTCCCTTTCCATTTTACCCTGTGCCTCCACCCACCCCCCCATCAGATCCACTTGACGGAAGGGAAGGCGATAGCATTGGCAATGGCAGGGTGAGGACACATCACCACAAAAGTTTGGGATTCGGGTTAAAGTCCATGTGACTTAAGCACGAATCAAAATAATAAGCTTGCTTTGCTGGTTTACTCCAGCAGGGGAAACAGGCCCCGAGTGATGCTCATGGAACCCAGTTAATGTGGGCTTTGGCTATGCTTCCTGGAGGATTCTGGGAGATATAGGCCAAAGGAGTAACTTCTTGAAGCTGTGCTTAGTGGTAGAGATGAAGCTCTGCCCACACTACATCCCAGCACCTGACCTGAGATGGGGAAGACACAATAGTGTTAGATGAGATGGATCAGCGGTTTGGCTCAGAGGAAGACAGTTTTATGTATCTATAGTAAAAAAGTAAATTTGATCTACCATCCCAAGTCTCTCTAGAGTACTTCTACCTGGAAAGGTCAGCTGCAAATAATAGGTTCCCCTTGACAATTTTTGTCCAGTCGTGTCCGACTCTAGGGGGCGGCGCTCATCCCGCTCTTCAAGCCATAGAGCCAGCGTTTTGTCCGAAGACAATCTTCCGTGGTCACATGACCAGTGTGATTTAGACACGGAACGCTGTTTACCTTCCCACCGAGATGGTACCTATTTATCTACTCACATTTGCATGCTTTCGAACCGCTAGGTTGGCAGGAGCTGGGACAAGCAACGGGCGCTCACTCCGTCGCGTGGATTCGATCTTACGACTGCTTGGTCTTCTGACCCTGCAGCACAGGCTTCTGCGGTTTAGCCCACAGCGCCACCACGTCCCCTTAGCTGCAAATAAATCATCCCTTAAAAGATCCAGATTCTCAGTCAAGACACAGGCTGACATCGATAAATACTGTATATTCCAGACTGTTAGTAAAGTATAAGGATAACATGAACTGGCATGCTGTAATAATGTATCTCGTTTCTTCAGCCATGGCAAATAGTTTGGGAAGAAAAAAAGATGCAAAAGTGTTGTGCACTTGGATATAATGGCTGGAGAGATGCAGTGTTTAATTGGATGATAGGGAAGTGGTTGTTTTTAGCTACTGTATCAAAGTGTGCTGTACTGTATTATAACAAGACCAATTCCTGGTAGGAAAAATTAATAATTCTGATTGTATACTTAAGTAATCATGCTTGTGTGATGGATTAATCAGCATTTTTCATGTAAACATATTTGCCTTTATAAGAAGCTTTAGTGGTTATTTAATTCTGCTAGTAATTATTTATATTTATTCTATTCCTCTTTACCTGTGAAAAGCAATTTAGCCATCTGCCAGATCACTAAACTTGGAAACCACTTAGAGCCTGACTGCATAGGGAGAAAAATGCTTGTTTGAGGTGGACTGATTCGCCTTTGTTTCTGTGGGTCAAATGATTCAATGGAAAATGCAAATGGCCTGGACTGCCACGCTCTCAATCTGTAATTTTTCCTCACTACCAGAGACCCATCTACTTTTTAAAAAGTGCAATACTTTCGATTCAGTTCAAGGATGTGATCACTTAAACTGATGCAGAAGGGAAAAACCAACTGAGTGTGCGCATGCACACATGCACGCACACAAAAGGGTGCTTCACCAAAGCGCCTTCCCATGCATGCAAATGCAAAAACACAAGCAGTGCCAGCACTCACTCTCTTGGCAAAACCTCTTTCCCAAATAGAACTGCAATACCAATCCCTTCTTCCTGTGCATGCAAATACAAAAACACAAGCAGTGCCAGCAACTCACTCTCTTGGCAGTATCTCTTTCCCAAATAGAACTGCAATACCAATACTTGAAAAAACTGTGTAGCCACTTACTTAAATTGAAGAGAGGAGGAGGGGGCACTTGTGTAGCCACTTAAATTGAAGAGAGGAGGAGGGGGCACATTGCCTTCTGCGTGTACCCTGCCCCCTCCCTCACTTGTGCCCCCCAAGCAAGCTCTCTTTGTTCCCTGCTGTGGGGTTCCTGGGTCCCCGGGGACCCCTGGCTGTGCACTTTCCCTCCCTGGTAGTGGCAGATCCTCCTTGGCTCTGGTGGCTGGCTGGCCGGCTCAGTTGGGGAACTGGGATGGGGACAAGCAGGAGGTCAGACCCCAAGTAGCAGCCCCTGCAAGCCAGGCTGGCCACAGTGGGGCTTGAGAGGCAACAGCAGAATGGAAGGGGAGTAGGATCAATGGTGGTGGAGGAGGAAAAGGGCACAGCACTGCCACTGGAGTGAGTTCATCCCTTCCTTTCCTCAGCCGTGCGCCACCGCCACCATTTTAGGAAGGACAGCAGTAGCAGTGACACCATTTGAAGGGAGAACAAAAAGCATGATTGTTCCCTTCCTGAGGGAAAGCCTCCCCCAACAAAACCCAATTTTAACCCATCCTCATTACCTCCACCTCCTGGATCCCATTAAGGAACTCGTGGTGGTGGTGGTGGTAAGTGGCTTTAACAAACACTCAGCTGCCAATTTTGAAGCTTGTTGCCCAACGATCCTATAAAATATTAGGTTAGGGTTATATTCTGAAAAATCTATTAAAATGCCTTTTTATACTAATGTGGTAGGGGGTCACAGATTAAATGGCTGTTAAAAAAGGGGGTTGTGACTAAAAGTTTAGGGAACACTTTCTTAGATAGACTACAGAAGTAGATTTCAGTATCAGGCAAAAATAACTTAGTTCTCTAGTTGAGGTAGCAATGTTGCTGACAAAATTTCATACACAGCCATGAATCCAGGACATGATGGTTGCGTTAGGTATAAAAGACTAATCTCTCAAGCATATTAAATTTTCTGATTATTGATGTTTCATCCAGCTGTTTGAGAAAAGTAGATGACTATCATCAGGCTCCCTTTCTGTCTTTTGCAGGTGCCAAAAGAGGTACATATGCTGCACTGAGAATACCCATTCTCCAAAATGCCAGGGCTAAATCTTTTGACCATCTGCTGCTGCTTAAAGGTTGATGTCCACAAATTGTGAATTGTGCTGGTGATACATGGGAATTTCACATATTTTCCTGGGGAGGATATTTCCTGGGGAAATGTGAAATAGGGTTCAGCTTTATTTGCTGCCATCTTTCTTTTCATGTCTTTACCCATAGGTGTTTGCATGTATGTATTGTGGATGTTTGTTTATTTGTGCATGAGAATTGTATCAGTATGCTGTATTAAGGAGGACTTCTATCTGGGCAATAATCTATGGCAAATTAATTTAACCCTGAATACTAATATGGGGGGGATTAAAACCTTGCTGTTATACTACATAATTCCGGACTAGAACTGGACTAGATCAGGACTAAACTAGAAGTATTGCCACAGAAGAAAAAGTGCTTCAAAGAAACGCTCACAATTACACCTGATTTCCACTCCTAGTATTTAGCCTGTTTGCTTGATAGCCTTCACAGTTAAAAAGATATAGTATCAGTGCATAATGCAGTACACCTTGTTTCAAACAAACCCCACCTAACTCGGTAAGCTTTAATGAGTCATACTTTGAAATGCCAGTGCAATAAAGGCATTGTTTAAACAGTGATCATGTTCATGCCTTTGTTCATCCTTAGGCTGTTAAATTTGCTTTGCAATTTATGAACAATGTTGCTACAGATTTATATTATTGGTGCTACAAAAGATGCTTGAGTACCAGGAACTCAGTTAACAGATTAACATTTAAGTTGGGTGGGAGGAGAGCAAGAAAATCAGACTTTGGAAATGCTATTTTGACATTTGGTGGCAGAAGCTATTCCTTCATTCTGTGCAAAGTAGCCTACAATGACATACTTGTATACCCACGAACATACCAATAGTAGCATAGCCATTCATCAATTAGTAGAAATAAATTGGAGAGGAGAATGAGGAGAGCTTGGTGAGACATTCAGAGGCCAACAGTGTGCTACATACTAGTTGTGGCTGAGCGGAACCAACAGACCTTATGGTTTGAAACACTTTTCCAGAAGTGGGCAATATTGGATGTTATTGAATTGGAATTCCAGTACCCAAGGCCAATGTAGCCATAGTGAAGAATCAGAGGAGGTGTCGTGCAAGAACATCTGAAGTGTTGCACATCTTCATAGCTGACTTATTGAACTTCAGAAACATGAAGTGATGCTGTCCAGATTTGTTCCCATGTTATATATAAACACAAAACATCATGCTGGTTGCAGAATGTAGCATAAATATTATTGAAGCAATGAGTGTTACAGAATTTAAATCGCAGTCAAGCGGTTGTAATTGCAAGTAGCTACAACTGCATAGGCAAGTGTGGTGGGTGGCCATGTGGTGCGTGCAGCACGTTCTGTTCCCATAGCTAGTTGGCACATAGTCACAGTAAAGCACCTGAGAAATGCTATTTTGGATAAACATGGAGACACGCTCCCCATCTAAATTTGCCCTTGTTGTTCACCACATCTGGTGAACATTTTCTTTAGAGGTACATTATGAGAGAAAAGTACATCTATATATGTGTTCAATGGTATAATGCTTATTCTTTTTGCATACCTGAAGGAGTGTACGTAGTCAGGGTGGATGTGCCTAAACACACCTTGAATTAAATCCCACCCAAATGAGAAGAACCAGCTTCAACATGCAGGTCTGTTCTTCTTACCAAATGACCCTTGCTGTCCAGCAAATAAATTGTGTAGGGCAAATTGGAGAGGGTACTTCATACTTCACTGTGGATTTGACAGGGAATTCTTAACTACTGATGTTTAGTATGCATGGGTTAAACAGCCACTTGACCGGAATGTTTGTTGTGCCTTGTGTGGCAAACATGTATAGTTGTTTGAAAATATTTTTTTCCACTCTTGTTGTTTTTACCAGTTGGAAAATCAAACGGATGTTCATCTAGGCAGAGATTTCTTCTTAACAAACAGACCAGTAGCTCGCTCTGACACATATGTCAACTTGCGTGGTGTCTCAAGTCGCTTCCAGCTGCCTCAGGGAGAATACCTCATTGTGCCATCTACCTTTGAGCCTTTCAAAAATGGAGAATTCTGTCTCAGAGTCTTCTCTGAGAAACAAGCTAAAGCTCAGTAGGTATTATTTATGCGGAAGTGGGCTGTGGGTTTTAGCTGTGAATTTCCTGCACTGGCAGGAAATTGGACTAGATAATACTTAGGAAGTGTTCAAACTCTGCAGTTCTACAATTCTATGGGCTAAAAGCTGTCATTACATTTTGCATGCAATATCTGGAAAATGTGTTGTATTCAGATGTCTGTTTCATATTTTAGCCTCCTCTTTAACAGTTTTTCCATTCTATTCTCAGTCCCTTATTTAATCTGCACCTCTTTAGTCCATTCATCCTCTTCTACTTGCAAGTAAATAAATCATTACTTGGAAATAGTTGCATTTTAGGATCAGGGTAAAAATTCAATCCAAGTTTTAGTAGGAATGTTAGGAAACAGGAAAGGCCAATTTGTAGAATTTGGCACTGAAGTCATAAATGAAAATGAACTATTTTGATCATATTATTCATAGATTTTTTAATGGTACAGTATCTATTTTTGCTGCCCAGTAAGACAGACAGTTATCATGCTTGGCTCTCAGAGCTAAAAGGATAAATACAGTAATAAAGATATCATAAAAGCAAAGTTAGCACAAAAGATTTCAGGAAAAGAAGACCTCAGACCAAAGACAGTACAACTGAAAGCATACAATATATAAAAGAACGGTGCTAACAATTCAGATTTTAGGATGGTAATTTTTTTTAATTCTTGGGAGAATAAACCTAGCACTGAGAAGACAGTAAAGAAGGTACAAAATGATCCTGTTTTGGAAGACTGTTCCAATTCAGAGAAGGCCACCTCCCTATATCACTTCTCTAGGTAGGAGTACACAGTGAGAGAACGCCACCTCCCTATACTGTATCACTTCTCTAGGTAGGAGTACACAGTGTTCTGCATTTAACAAGAATTTTAATATTTGGCTGGGCAATGTAGAGAAGAAGGTGATCTTTCAGGTAGCCTGGTCCCAAGTCTTCAAAAGAATCCATCACTTGGACCTCTCTCCCATCCCTGTTGAGCTTATGATGGACAATTGAGATTATAATGTTCTGAACGGCCTTTGGTGTCCCAAGTCTAGTTTTTATAATAGTCTTTTGGAGAATATTTTTATCTGGTTTAGAATATTTCTAATCCATCCTTAAACAATTTAAATATCTTTTGACTTTAAAAAAATTTTTTTACTGATTATTATCATTTTGTTTTGAATGGCCTTGGAAGCCTTGACAAGCAAAAAAATGAAGAAGAAATGCAAAAAATAAAATAAAATATTCAGACAACAAAAGACAAATGGTCTTGGAGACATTTACTGTGTCATGGAGGTAGGCAATTTACAGTCATCTAGATGTTATTGGGAGCATAATACAGCTTGGGTCCAGGCTACCTGAAGGACCGTTACCTCCCTATATGCACCTTCTCTGCAGTTAAGATCAGCAGAGAAGGCCCTCCTCTCAGTCCCATTGCCAGCACAGCTGATGGGGACACAGGAGAGGGCCTGCTCTGTGGCAGCTTCCAGGCTATTTAACACTCTCCCTCGGGAGATCAGGATGGCCCCTTCCCTTTTATCCTTCAGAAAAAAGCTAAAGACCCATCTCTTCAGGCAGGCTTTTAACAATTATAACTGAATCCCTGAACCCCATTTTAGCAAATAATTTAAATCTTTTTTATGTTTTCATGTTTTGATCTTTTAATTGTATTTTAAATCATATATTGTTTAATTTATCTTTTAATATTTAACTTATTGTGTTTTTAAATTGTGTGAATTTTAATGTTATGAGCGCTTTGGGTCCCTTGTTGGGAGAAATTTGGCATCATCATCATATCATCATCATTATAATTTGCAGCATTCCCCATCAGTGACTTTGCATCCCTTGGTTGGGAGAAATGTGGCATCATCATCATCATCATATCATCATCATCATCATTTGCAGCATTCCCCATCAGTGACTTTGCTTGCTAGGTATGATGGGAGTTGTAGTCCAACAACATCATAAGGGCTACCTTTTGCCCCTGCCTGCGGAAGGGCTATTTGTCTCCACGTGGGACATTTTCTTGCTTGCTTTTGAGATCTATCTCAGACAACTTGTGTTGTGTGTTATATTGTGGTCACCAGGCAAATTAAGAGAAGAGATAAGGCTTGAGGATTCATCAGGGTCTTTCTTAATTATTCTATAGATGAAGATTGAAAGCATGTTTATTTCATCGAGCTGTTCATGAATAGTTATGTTGTTTTAATTTTATTCCAAAATTGTTGTGCTAGATTGCTTACATATAAAGTTTGTAATTTTCTGGTTGTTTAATGCTGCTTAATTGTATTGTATTTGCTATTGTGATCCCATTTGAGTGTTCCAAGACCATAAGAGCATGATCTATAATTATTATTTCTTCTTTTTCTGATCACAGGGAAATTGGTGACACTGTAGCTGCACATCCATATGAGGTAAGTGAATCAAGCAAGGTAACATTTTCTGATTCAATTTATCTGGTTGAGCCAAGGGGTGCTTTGAGGCTTTCATCATGACTCATTCATGAAAATGTATTGGGGAAGGGCAGTTGAAGTAGTCTTGACTTATTCTCCTGTGTTTCCCCACCCCTTTTTCTGTTCTTTCATTTCACAAAACATCTGTGAAGAAAGAAAGGTAGAATAGCTGCACAATGCCTTTTAACTGGTAACATTAGGAGCCCTTTGTCAAGAAGCATCCACAGTTTTGTTGCTAGGAGAATGGAGGACCGCAGGCTGCATACCAGATTAACTGTACTATATACTGCATTTGTTGCATTGATAAGACCTCCTCCACTGATTTCTTTGAACAGCCTATTTGCGGAGAACTGAAACTATACTTCTTAGAGCCTATGTACATACTATAGGAGACGCCAGTTACACAATTATAAGCTGACCTACCTTAAGAGGTGAGGAATGAAATAATCATAATTCTGCAAGTTTGTAAAATTGTAAAATTGTGTTTGTTTGACAGTTTCACCAGGACCGATAAACAACAAGCTCCATTTGCATGTTGATTGCATAGACCTAGCAGCTTTGAAGGAAAAAGTATCTGAAAGAATAAGGTTTTATCACCTTCTGATTGCAAAGCTGGTGTCTTGTATAGTCCAGTCTTAAGATCACAATGTATGAAAAATTTGATTTTGTAGTCTCTGGCCTTGGCTTTGTACCTTTATAATAGAATACATATATGATGTATGTGCAACAACATAAGGCAGACTTTAGACTTCTGCTCCTTTCAGAGTTTATTTTGTTATCCTTATTTTGGGCCTTTCACAAGAACCACCCCAATAGTTGGTGAAAATGTAATATTATTTGTTATCACTTCTCTTTTAGCCTCATGTTGAAGACAAGGAGATAGACAGTGAGTTCAAGAGTCTGTTCCAAAAACTTTCTGGGGAGGTAAGAAGGACATTCTGATATGAATAAAGTTTCAGAATTAGACAACTACTGTGTAGGTAATGTCCATCTGCACTGGAAACTTTGTTCTACTAACACAACTTAGGTTTGATTAGTTCAAGCTTGCTAAATTGGATGGCAGTGCAGTTTTCCTTCACTGTTTCCACTGGAATAAAATTCAAAACAGTTGATCTTGTTTACAATGCAATCCTATGAATGTCTGCTCAGTAGTTAGCTCCATTACCTTCAGTGTGACTTATTCCCAATTAAGAGAATGAAGATTGCATCCTTTATTACTTTATATAGTCACATGGCTTGCCCATCCCAAAGACTTGATGCAAATAGCAGTGTCATTCATAAAATTCCATCAATCCACTATAGGACCCCAATAGAAATCCTTTCATCTCTTCCCTTGCAGTCCTTGGCTCTATTAAGCACTAAGCATTCATTTCTCCTCAGTCCAGTGCCTGGGAAATGGTCACTCCCAACACTTTCAGAATCATCCAAATACCTTTTTTAAAAAAGGAGTCAGAACATTTGGGGATGGACAAATGTCAGTGGAGCAAGTGTGCTTTACGTTTCCCCACTCCATGTTGACCTCTTACCATTACTCTTATCACCAAGGAAAGACCATTCACTTTCTTTTTATATATATATATACATTTTATTATTTTTTATGACATATATACCTACAAAGACAAAATACAAAACAGGAACCAAAAAACAAACCAGAAATACCTACAGATCAATGACACAGACAAACTAACAAAACAATACAAGAAAAACACACCGTGGGGAGGCATTTCCCATACCAGCTTAACTATTCATTTAAAAACACCTCTCAGACCACCCATTTTTAAGGGAAAGCCTGCCCAAAGAGAAAAGGTCCTTGCCTGCTTGCAGAAGGACAGCGATGATGCTCTTCCACAAGTCCGGCTTCCTTTGCGAGGGAGTTCCAGAGTCTGGGAGCAGCAGCAAAGAAGTCCCCACCAAGCGCACCTATGAGGGTGGCAGGACTGAGAGAAAGGCCTCTCCTGATGAGCTTAAAGCCCAAGCAGACTCATAGAGGGAGATGCACTCTTTTAGATAGCTTGGACCCAAGTCCTTTACAGGCTTTATAGGTTAAGATGAGCACTTTGAATTGTGCCTGGAAATGGATTGGCAGCCAGTGGAGCTGCTGTAACAGTTGGGTCACATGATTTCTGCAATCGGCCCCAGTTAGCAATCTGGCTGCTGCATTTTGGATCCTCTGGAGGTTTTCAAAAGCAATCTCACATAGAACGCATTACGGTAATCCAGTCAAGATGTAACTAGTATATGTGTCACAATGGCCAGATCAGCCCTTTCAAGAAACGGGTACAGCTGGTGCACTAGTTTTAACAGTGCAAAGGCACTCCTGGCCGATTCATTCAGAGATGAATCCAGGAGCACCCCCAAGCTGCGCACCTGTGTTTTCAGAGGGGGTGTAAGCTGCATCCCTGTTTCTTGATCTGCTTTTTGACTGACCAGGAGCACCTCCGTCTTGTCTGGATTAAGCTTCAGTTTATTTGCCCTCATCCAGTCTATTACTGACACCAGATACTGATTTAGAATGGAACTTCCTTAAATTTAGATGGAAAGGAGAGACAGAGTTGAATGTCATCAGCATACTGGAGACACTGAACCCCAAAACTTCAGACCTTTCCCAGTGGTTTCATGTAGATGTTAAATGCACAGGAGACAAAACAGATCCTTGAGGGACACCACAGGCCAAAGGGCATCAAACAGGAGTTCTCCAGCACCACCCCCTGGGTTCTCCCCTCCAGTAATGACCTGAGCCAATGTAAAACAATGCCTCTATGTCCCATCTCAGAGAGACGGCCCAGAAGGATACTATGGTTGATAGTATCAAAAGCTGTTGAGAGGTCCAGCAGAACTAACATGGACACACTCCCCCTGTCATCCACCAAGGTTACCAAAACAGTCTGTGTCCCATAACCAGGCCTGAAGCCAGATGGAAATGGTCTAGATAATCTGTCTCATCCAGGAACCCCTGGAGCTGAGAAGCCCCAACCCGCTCCAGCACCTTGCCCAAGAATGGGATATTAGAGACTGGCCAGTAATTATCAAGTACTGTAGGGTCCAAGGTGGGCTTTCTCAATAGTGGTCTTATTATTCCTTCCTTTAAGCATGCTGGGATGCTACCCTGCTGCAAGGAGGCATTTGCTACTCCTTGGACCCACTTGGCCAGTCCCTCTCTAGCAGCTTTTATTAGCCAGGATGGGCAAGGGTCCAGGAGACAATTCTCTAAGCTTTTATAAGCCAGGATGGGCAAGGGTCCAGGAGACAAGTGATAGCCTTCACCTCACCAAGGATCTTGTCCACATCATCAGGCTGCAAAAAATGAAACTTATCCATCAACACCAGATAAGCAGGAGCCATATTTACATCTGCAGGACCTGTATGAATTACAGCACCCAAGTCAGAGTGGATCCAAGAAATTTTGCCTCCAAAGTGCTATGCAGATTTTTCTCATTGAGCTACTGAGGGCCACGATGTAAGAGGCCATTGATCACTTGGAATAGCTCTGCTGGGCAACTCTGCAGATGCAATGATGGAAGTGAATAATGACTTCTTCACTGCCACCACTGCCATGGAATAGGCCTTCTAATGTGCTCTAGCCCATGTTCGGTCTGATTCATCTGAGTTTTCTGCCATCATCGCTGTAGTCTCCATCCCATTTGTTTCACCACTACCAGCTCCTTGGGGGCTAGTTTGGCTCTACTTCATGGGAGGGGGTGCTTAGGGGTGATTGTGTCAACTACCATGGCCATTTCCCCATTCCCGAGATCAACCAGGGCTTCAACAGAATTGCCTGCTGAGGCAACAGGAAACTCCCCAAGAGCCATCAGGAAACCCTTTAGATCCATCTGTCTGCTGAGGAAGACCATCCTAGTTGGTCATCTACCTCTGCAGAGGCTCTGAGTTCCAGTAAGTCTAAACATCATCAGATGATGATCTGTCCGTGACAACAGAACAACAGAGAGTTCCACCACAATCAGACCACCAACATCAACATCAGTACAGAAATTCAGATCTCAAGTATGACCAGCAGCATGAGTGGGGCAGTGTTATTATTATACAATATTTCATTGGCCATCAATTTACAGGACCCAGAGAAAAACCAATGGGATACACTCACTGTGTCTGTAAAATATGAGGGCAAGAAATAGCTGACTAACGGCAGGTATTGTTAGCATCACTAACATTGAGGAATGATGGGAGTTGTAGTGCAACAACATTTGGAGGGCCCTGAACTCGATGACCTTACAGGCCCTTCCAACTTCATGATTCTATGGTTCTGTTTTTCTAAACCTTGGTGTACAAAGTTAGTCACACAGAATTCTGAAATGTATGGAGGACTCTGTTCTTACTCTTGTTTCACATGAGACTTGATTGCAGGCTTGCTTCAAAGCAGGTGCTCTCAAGATTTCCCATAGGTCCCATTCAACATAGGAATGGTCAGGGATTCTGGGTATTGCTGTCCAAAATGCCTGTAGGGTTTCCCCTCTTTATTGTGTCTGGTGGTTAAACCTCTGATTTGCCTCTTTTGTACAGGACTGTGAACTGACTGCAAATGAACTACAAACTATTTTGAACAGAGTTATATCAAAGCGTAAGTTGCAATCAATGCTTAATCATTGTGCAAGAAAGGCAGAGTAATCACACACAATAATACTTATACGTATAGTCAATCACATTTGGAATAAGTCTGAATATTTCTTCACCCATTCTAGCCAGCATGCTAGTTTTTCTGTTACAGCTTATTGTTGAAACTGATTACTATATAACTAGTGCACATAGTTTTGCCTAATAAAAGCAGAAATACTGAAAATGAACATTTCCAACATTGTTCTTTTTCTCTGATTAAAAAGGTATTGATTTCCCCTTTACCAGAATTCTCTATTTTAGTTTTTTCCTGCGATTACAGACACTGGAAATGGATGAGAATGCAGCAATCCACACCAAAAAAGTAGAAGACCCTGACAGGGACTCAAAAAAGTACAGGCTGGTACACTATGAGGACAAATTGATTCTCTCAGTTTTTTCTGGCAACCAAAAAAAGAGTGAACCTATCAGCCCCCACAACAAGCCAAGCAGTGGGACAATTGCCCATCTGAACAAGCCCACAAGTGGTGGATGCAAAGGATGCAGGGAGCAGTGGAGGACAGAGCTGTGTGTGTTGTGTAGCCTGACCTGCACTCCCTAAGCTCCTACTCCCAGCGGCGAGGGAGGAGGACATTAATAGAAGGCTGATTGCTAGTCCAGTCAAATTCTGTCCATGGATTATAAGAGGGTGGAACATGTTCTGAGGGGACACAATGCAGCCGTCTTGCTGAAGCTAGACAGGTATACAGTGTATCTAGCTGTTTTCAATATGGGAGATTAGCTGGGAATTCCATGGACCTTTTATTTTTTTTATTTATTAACAGAAAGCATTCTGAGACCACTTTTCCAAACAACATTTTGTTTTGTTTTCTTTCTATCTGTGTTCCCAAGTCTCTTTTAATTTTTTTCTAAAGAAATGTGCGCCCCTCCCCCAGAGCATGAAGGTAAGTGCTTTGTCATAGCATCACTACTTGTTTAATAACCACATTTTGCCCTCAGTGTTCTTGTAATTTTCCTTCACTATCATGCTCAGCTGTCCTGAAAAATGACTGAGCAGAAATATGAAATATATTTTGTCTTAACTTCAGAAGGTACCCATGCCCAAAGATAATTTCCCAGTGTTTCCATGGGAGGCAGATAAATGTTTGAGTAAAATATTTTCCCCTTCTTCTTTATTGTGTAGGAAGAGACGTTAAAAGTGATGGATTCAACATAAACACCTGCAGGGAGATGATCAGCCTCTTAGATGTATCCTTTAAGTGTCACTCTTCTCTCCTGAATTTCCCTTGTGAACCTGTTGATTAAATGAAGTAAGATTTACATGTTTTGTTTTCTTGGCACATCTGTCTTCACTTGCTGTTAGGTGTGAGGCACCAAGTGTCGATGTAAACAGCTTAATGTGATAAGAACAGTAACCCTTTATTGCTAGATGGTTAGTTGGTTTGCTGCTGTGTTGGGTTTGCTTCCTTCATGGCCACAGGAAGGCTTCTCATTAGCAGTGTAGTGGAACCTCAGGTTGTAGGGTTGAAATTTAAGGAGCTTTTGATTCAGAGAGGACACAGTAAGCCAACAGCTTAGACTTCCTTGTTCCCTCTGTCGATAACTGCAATTTACATTGTAAATAGAGGGAGGAGAGATCGTCTAAGAGCAATCTCTATGGAAATGCAAAATATTTTGTGGTGGCTTAGTCTTGAATGGACTATTAGCTTTATTCAAGATCTGTTCTTGATGGAACAACCTGTTGTTGTTGTTGTTATTATTATTATTATTATTAATTGAATTTATATCCCACCTATCTAGTCAGTTACGACCACTCTAGGCGGCGTACAACATAAAATATATAAATACATGAATTATTATAAATAAACAGCTGCAACAAGATGGAAAACAGAGTGACTCACAGTAAAGAGAGAAAAGGAAAACATCAGGGATTGACTGGAAGGGATTAGCTGGGGTTGTTGTTGTTTAGTCATGCCCGACTCTCCGTGACCCCATGGACGAGAGCACGCCAGGCCCTCCTGTCTTCTGATGGAACAACTAGTTTGTTGATAATGGATTTCCAGGTTCTTCTTGTGGGTGTGGCCACAGGGGACAGCCCTAACGCATGCCATTGCCTACACTTTACCATTACATCTGTTCTTCACTACCTGAAGCCTGCCAAAATGTACGCATGACAAAGATTGTTATATCAGTGGTGGCAATGTGGGACTCTTACAACCTATTCTCCAGTCCCTAGGGCCTTTTGGCCTATACAGCATTCCCTCCCCTTCCAATATTATTTGTTGCTCAAAAGTTCCTTTACACCCTCTAGGTACAGGGGGGCAGTTCTGACACGTTTGTTGAAGTACTGGACACTCCCAGAACCCTCCATGCTCCCCCAAATTTAATTTTTCAAAGGATATTTTGGACATTAGAGTGTACAAGTGAGCTTTTCTGAAAACTAAACCTTTGCAATATTTTAGCCAATTTTTCCCTTAAGAAAACCCACCTCAGCAACTTTACACCCCATAACCACTGCAAAACAAATTCTTGAAAACCCATACAAATAAATAAAAATGTATGTTGGCCTCGGTAGCCACCCTTTTCCCTCATTAGCCCCACTTTCTTGAACTTCCAGCAAATCTAGAAAACCAGCCCTGCTGAGATTTCCCACCTCTGTCTTAGTCTGCATGCAGCTCTAGTTACATTTGACAATGTGTTGCTCTCCCTTGATACATGAGAAAGATACACAGGAAGGTCTGGTGAACTGCAGGAAGCAATGAATTGTTGAGGCTGAACCGCTCCCTTCTCCCCATATGGCTCAGGAGATAATGGAGGAAATAAAAGATGGAGAACCTGCCAATCTTCACAGCATGTTCTTCTCTCACAGAAAAGTAATTAACAATGCAAATAGCTTAACATGCTAGAACAAATTTATTATAGATGGCAACCCAGGTGTCTGGCAGAAATCCACAGACATGATTGACAGAGAGGGCAAGCTGTTGTATAGAAGGAGAACCCTTACTGCTTCAGCAGGTCTCAGTGTTTGCATAGAAGGAGCACAACAACTGGACCAGGTTGGGCTGTTTGGTTTTCAAAGTGAGCAGAGGTTTGCATTACAAAGACGCCTGTGTTTAAATCCCTGTTTAAAAAATTCTTTGGTCATCTCTTCCTGATCGGAACTCTCAGCCAGTCATGACTGGAAATAATAACACATTAATTGCTTAATCTTCAAAGTTGTGACATTTGCAAAACCAACATGCAAACCAGAGCTTCTTGTTTTACTCCAAGTGACCAGTCAGAGTCCATTGTCCACCTCCCGCCAATGACGTGCTACCAATCAAAGAAAGCCAATTTACCACTTCCAAAGTTATGAAAGCCACTGAGATACTTTACTACTTAAGTCAGCTCCACTTCTTCTTGTAGAGCTGCGCATTTGTCTGTTTTGGCCTTTAATCTATGCACGCAGGGAAAAAAACTAAACAAAATGAGGTGGCAGAAGCATGATCAGGGTTGGGAGCTGGTAGAATGAACTATACCAGCTCAGGATACAGGTGTGGAGAACCACATTTTTAATTGTTGTTGTTGTTTAGACGTTTAGTCATGTCCGACTCTTCATGACCCCATGGACCAGAGCACGCCAGACTCTCCTGTCTTCCACTGCCTCCCGGAGTTTGTCAAATTCATGTTGGTAGCTTCGGTGACACTGTCCAAACATTTCATCCTCTGTCATACCCTCCTCCTCTTGCCCTCACACTTTCCCAACATCAGGGTCTTTTCTGGGGAGTCTTCTCATGTGATGGCCAAAGAATTGGAGCCTCAGCTTCAGGATCTGTCCTTCCAGTGAGCTCTCAGGATTGATTTCCTTCAACATTAATAGGTTTCCTCTCCTTGCAGTCCAGGGGACTCTCTCAAGAGCCTCCCTCAGCACCACAATTCAAAAGCATCAATTTTCTGGTGGTCAGCCTTCTTTATGGTCCAGCTATCACTTCCATACATCGCTACTGGAAAAACCATAGCTTTGACTATGCGGACCTTTGTCGGCAAGGTGATGTCTCTGATTTTAAGATGCCCTCTAGGTTCATCATTGCCTTCCTCCCAAGAAGCAAGTGTCTTTTAATTTCGTGGCTGCTGTCTCCATCTGCAGTGATATCTGTCACTGCCTCCATATCGTCCCCTTCTATTTGCCAGGAGGTGATGGGGCCAGTGGCCATGACCTTAGTTTTTTTGATGTTGAGCTTCAGACCATTTTTTTCACTCTCCTCTTTCATCTTCATTAAGAGGTTCTTTAATTCCTCCTCACTTTCTGCTTTCTGGTGTCATCTGCATATCTGAGGTTGTTGATATTTCTTCCAGCAATCTTAATTCCGGTTTGGGATTCCTCCGGTCCTGCCTTTACCAGGATGTATTCTACATATAAGTTAAATAAGCAGGGAGACAATATACAGCCTTGTCATACTCCTTTCCCAATTTTGAACCAATCAGTTGTTCCATATCCAGATCTAACTGATGCTTCCTGTCCCACATATAGATTTCTCAGGAGATAGATAAGGTGATCAGGCACTTGCCATAGTTTACTGTGTTCGACACAGTCAAAGGTTTTGCATAGTCAATGAAGCAGAAGTAGATGCTTTTCTGGAACTCTCTGGCTTTCTCTGTAATCCAGTGTATGCTAGCACTTTGGTTAGCAATTAACATTTTTAATGCAACGTCCGAATCAGAGGCAATCACATATTTTTTCTGAAGTAGAAAGCTAGAAGAGCAGAAAGGCAACTGGATTAGAAGCGCTCTGTCTGGTGTGGTCCTTTTTTTTTCAAAGAGCTTTTTCTGGGGGACGTGGTGGCGCTGTGGGCTAGACCACAGAAGCCTGTGCTGTAGGGTCAGAAGACCAGCAGTCTTAAGATTGAATCCACGTGACGGAGTGAGCTCCCGTCGCTTTGTCCCAGCTCCTCGCCAACGTAGCAGTTTGAAAGCATGCAAATGCAAGTAGATAAATAGGTATCACCTCAGTGGGAAGGTAA